GGAAGGAAGGAAGGAAGGAAGGAAGGAAGGAAGGAAGGAGCTGATGGTGGATGGAAGGAAAGAAGGAGCTGATGGATGAAGGAAGCTGATGATGGAAGGAAGGAAGCTGATGATGGATGTACGGAAGGAACGAGCTGATAATGGAAGGAAGGGGCTGATGATGAATGGAAGGAAGAGTGGGAGGGAGGATGGATTTATGACTGATTGAAAAAAACAATACATACAAATTATTCTCCATGGAAAGACCACCAGAATGATCAATAGAGTCCCCCCCCCCCATAATACTGCCAGTGCCGACTGGAGACTCCCATTTCCTGGGGGGGTGGGGCATGATGAATCTACTCCATGTTTTCTTCCGAACTTTGCAGGAATTATCCAAGAATTTGAACCCATCTGGGAGAGAAGATTTGGGACTTTGGATCCATCTTGACACCCAGGGATGGTCCGCCAACTCCCCAAAACAGGTTCTGCACCTCAGATACCACTTGTAAAGTTTGGACCGAAAATGGGAATGGAATCTAGCGGCATGAAGAAGCCGGTGGGGGAGAATGGGTGGGGGAGAATGGTGTTCCCCAGCCTGAATCCTGCCACCCCAGATAAGTCCTCTGTAAACAACAAAAAGAGTAAGTTTCCGCTAGGAAAAGCGAGAGGACTTTGAAAAGGATTTTTCTCTCTTCTGCCTGACCATGCCTAGTTCGGACAAAAGTCCGGAGCAGACCCACCCTCTTTCCCTCGTCTGCATCCCGCCTGATCCTCTTCCTTCGGGGCTCGGCACGGAGCATGGTGTGTAAGGCGCGGCACACACAGTTTTTCCCAAATAGATATACATTATTATTATTTTAGATCTCTATCTATATATATGTATATATTTTACACACATTGGATTAATCTGCGCGAGAAACTAGATATGGCTTTCTGTGATTCAGTCAAGAGCAGGGGAAAGGGGGGGTGAGGTGGAATGGAGACGGTAGCCAAACTTTGGTCAGGAACAATGTGGAAATGGGGGAGACGCCTGCTCCCCCAGATCTTCCCTGGTCTCCCGGCCCAGGAAGCTGTGCGCCCCCCCCATTGAGAAGCCCCCTCATCCGGCATCCGCTTGCTTTCCGAGGAGGCAAATTCCCATAGACCGCCTCCCCGTCCTGCCCCAATACAAGAGACAAGAGCAGGTGACCCCCCCGAGGGTCCCGAAGGCCCCCCTCCTTCCCGTCGCCGTTTCGGGGTGAAGGCTGCTTTTTGCAGAGCGAAGGATGGTCAGCATGACAGAAAAGGAGCCACAATGGATTTCACTGAACGGCCTGCTCGTTCGGCCACCCCACGGGGGCTCATGGACTCTTGGACTCCACTTCCCCACGACGCGTGCCCCACGCCCTCCCCACTTGGGGTCAAGGGTCACAAATTGGACGGAAGCTTGGATTTGGCCGCGTCCGTATCTGGAGGAGGGCTGACCCCAGAATCCTTCCGGGCGCTGCCCGAGTCCTGCTGGAGACTGGCTGGGGGGGCCCCCGAGCCCGGGGCG